CAAAACAAATTTTAATATAATCTTTCTTTCTTATTTTTGTTCATTGTTATTCGGTGGCCAAGTATTTTTCATACACCATATAAAAACAGGTTTGAATGTACTTAATTTAAGCATAACTAAAGGGTTTTAGAGGATAGCGCGTTGGTTTTCCCAATAGGGTAGCCAGGTTCGAAACCCCGCATTCATAAATGAACTGAAAGTTTTCCTGTCTACAACAGCAGTAGGTAGAGGAAAACTTGGAATCAGTTTAAATGTTATGTGTTGCTATTCCCCTCCCCATGGTGCACCATGTTATTAACCTTGAATTTACTATATATGTTTTCTAATGGCGAATCAAGGTAGTCAAAATAACAGGAAAAAAAAAATAGGTTTAGCGAACGCTTATTTAGCTTAATCATTCGAAAATACGTTAAGCTAAATAAGTTTAACCTTTTTAATCTTATTGCCCACAAAATTAAGGGTAATATTTTCGTGTCCTGGATCACATTCAATGTTTATTATTGATTTATTTACATTTATTTCACGATCTTATAATTATATAATGCAATTAATAATGTTTAAAATATTGTTTAGTGAAAGCAAAGACAATTTTATTTCATAATATGAAATGAGATTCAGAGTCAGAAATGAGATTTTTCAAAAAAAGAATATCGTTTAGAATTCTAAAGTTTTTTTTATTACTTAAGATAAGCTGTTATGCGTTTTGTTCTTATATTAAATTCTAAATTTTATGAGTAACCTTTATATTGGCCCCTCTGAATATTTTTTTTTATTTCTGTTCTAGAAAAATATTATGTATTACTAACTATGATTTTTGATGGGTTTATTTTTAAAATAAATCACAATTACTTATTTGATACATTAAAGGCTAGTTTCGAATACTTTTCAATATTTTTTTATTTTTTAAAAATCTCTGTCAAAACTATTCTTATTGGTTTATATAAATTAAGTCGCGAGCTTTTTTATACATAGTATTTGTTTAAATTTTTTCGCGTACTAAATGAAATTAATTAATTATATAATGTAGAATTGTTCTAAAAGATAGACTGGTGAAAGAAAAAAACGATATTATTTCAAAGTGAAAATGAGATTTTTCAAGAAACAAAAATAGTTTTTTAATTCTATAGTTTATTTTTTAAGATTGCTGTTATGCTTTTTGTTCTTACATTAAGTTCTAAATTTTAAGGATTAGTTATATATCGGTCCAGACAATTATTATTTTTTTATTTATGGCATAGGATATAGTTAAAATTTAATGCATTATTGACTATGGTTTTCAATGTATTTATTTATAAAAATAATCACAATTACTTATTTGATACATTAAAGGCAAGTTTCGAATACTTAAAATTTTTTATAAAGAATTTTTGAACGGCGAATTTTACAAAAATAAAAAAATATTATAACCCATGTTTAATTTTAAACATAATTTTATATCAGCAAGTTTGGTTTCATCAGTCATCAATCAAAGGAATAAATTTGCAAAAAAATAATGTCACATATTGTTAGAAAATGGATCCAACAACTTTTGGCGACTTTTTTTTATCGCCATTCAGCCAACAGGCGCGCAGTCCCTTCCGTTATGACGCTATTTTTCAAAGAGAACTAAAAAAAAATGTCTACCAACAAAAGATTCTTATTTTATTGAACATTATTAAAAACGCATGCAACTCTTAAATGCTATGAATGTGTCGTGCATGCAACTCTTAAATGCTTTGACTGTGTCATGCATACAACTCTTAAATGCTATGGATGTATCGTGCATACAACTCTAAAATGGAATGTATCGTGCATACAACTCTTAAATTACAACTCTTAATCTTCCGGTTTAACTGCGGAAAAGGACGAGTCGATTACTTGTTGGGGTGATAGTCAAATATACATAATGCAAAACTGCTTTGAAAAAAAAAGTATTATGGTATGGAATTTTTTCAGCTAGTTTTTCTTTTAATGTCTTGCAGAGAAAATGAAAATCCCTCCATAATAAAACTTCCCCCTCTATAACATCGCTCATTTTAAATCCACCTAACTTGGCCCCATGAAAAATTTCACACCATTGGTGATCGGATTATATATATATATATATATATATATTTAATGAAGTGTATTTTCCTTCCATTCTTTTTCTTTTGAATTGTTAAATACATCCTACTTTCCAATTTCAAGAAAACTTTGTAAATTATTTTAATGATGAGTTGTTTTTGACTACAGGTTTACACATTTTAAAATTTGAAATGTCTTATAATTAATCCACAAAAATTGTTTCTTACTTTTAAAGTTTTACGAAGCACTATAAACATTCTGAGAATTAAAAAAATATGATATGCATTTATTAAAATACATTGAATGAATTCAGAAAAGGAAAAAAAATTTTTCCTCTCAAAAGAACATCAGTACGATTCGTTCTTTTAAATACTCGAAATGAATTCAAAATTTGTTCCATTCTGTTTAAATGGAATTTTTATTTAAGGACGACATTATGAAAATCCCATTAGAAATATCACTTAAAAAAAATATTTTTAAAAAATAACTCCTTTTTTTTAAATACTCACTTGGTTCTCATCAGAAGCAGCGTGTTGCCAAAAAAAAATAAAAGCAATAAGAAACGCAAACTAATTCTTCAGAGTGTACGTTTTAATTTCGTTTCCTTTTAAAATGATACATCCTCTATCTTGCGAAAGATATTCCAAAATGGATGTGTAATCCAATAAAGTGAGTCACTCATTTAAATTCTTGGATTCCTCCGCTTCAAGTGGTTTGAGAAGGGAACATTTTAATCCAACAACTTCTGAACCTCCAGATAAACGCTCCGCTGGTTCACAGGGGAAGATTGTCTGTTTAAGATCTCCCTTTTGATGTAAGAAAAAAAAATTCTGGAGAAAAATTGTTACTTATATCAAAGAAATATTCCTCCATCAATTTTTATTATCATTATTATATATTTTTTATTTTTGTAATCACAACTAGATCTTTACGAGATGCGATAAAAAATATTTGAATAGGATATCAGTCTAAGATGAATAAAAAATTATGTAAGGAGCATTTTTCTGTGTAAGAAGCTTTTTCGGGGGAACCGTGAAATCGAATAAATATGAATTGTAGATAAAATAGCGTTAGCTTGTTGTAATTTTTTTTTTCTTCTTCTCCTGCTGTTGTTGTAAGAAACTGAAGATTTCGCGTACTTATTTTTAATCTCTGTGTCAAAAGAAGAAATTGGTTTAAGCCACTGAGTTTCAGGCAAATTCGTTCATTAGTATTCAGTGAATGATCCGCCGATCAAAGGTGCAAAAGTGGTGAATAAAAAGTGAATTCATTTCGGTCTACCGTTTGTGAAATTAGTGACTTTCAGTAAAAAAAAAAGGTTACAAAAATGGGGGATATTATCTCACCTCTTAATTATATTTCACGAATTTTACCCCGTTTAAAAATTTGTAGAATTATTTATTTTATTGTCTATTTATTTTAGAAGTGTATAAATTGTGTTTTATTTAACACACGTATTTTTATTTCATGTTCTGTGTTATTTTGCTTTTTAATTTATAGATTGACACATATTAAATACGTTCCAAACAATAATTATTTCCTTCCTTCGTAGTTAATTATTCTAATAATTCTTAATTATTGCATTGCTGTAAGAAAAATTGAATTTAAAAAGAAAAATACATTTTGTTACTACATTAATGTTATTAAATATAACTATTTCCGTAAACGTTTTGTTATAACAGTATATGAAGATTTGTTAAGAGTTTTCTTGATAAGATGCATGTTGTGTGTTTAAAAATGTAATGAAATTTAATCTTTAAATTAGATATAATGTTGTTGGGGGAGAAGAAAACCGTTCCTTTTTTAAAATTTTCACAATTTTTGCAAATGTATTCTTGCTTATGCTAAATTCATAGAAAAGTCAATCTTTCTCCCCAATATTTAAAGTAAGATGGATACGTCTGCAGAATCAGCCTGTTCTGTGTGTTATGAATTCTTGAAAATTTCTGCACATGTGCGTCTCTGATGTATGGCGTCCATTCGCCAATAGTCCTCATGACCAGATCCATAACAGTGTCTGCCGTCCATCAACAATGGCCTCTGCCAGATACACAACGGGGAATATATACATTTCCATGAGAACTCTCGTATTCAACATCAGTGGTCAGGGCGCGCTAGCTTTTAGCACATTGTTAACATGGCATGTGAATGATAATTCGTTATATTATTGTTCAATACTGAATAGGGAATTATTATTGGTAGCTTTTGTTGTCCTGGGGATGAGCATGAAATGAACAACAGCTGCTGCTAATTCATAAAGCTGAAAAATACCACACTATTATTTAGTTACAGAGTACACTGAAACCTGTTTGTGTCTTAGTGAGGAATCCACATTTTAATATAAACTTTCGTTAGTAGTTTTAATTAATATAATCTTTCGTTATTACTTTTATTGCTTTTTTATTCATGTTATGTTATTTAGCAGGCAATTATTTTTCATACACCGAAAAAAAAAACAGGTTTAATTGTACTCAGTATAAAAAGGACCAGAGCCTTTTTGTGGATAGCGCATTGGTTTTCCCAATCGGGTAGCCAGGTTCGAAACCCCCCATTCATAAACAAATTTTTCTTGTCTATAACAGCAATAGGTAGAAGAAAACGTTGGGTTCGTAAAGGAAAGATGACTCCTTCTCCCCTACAAATGCCTATTGCCAGCAGTTCAAAATTATGTTGTTGTTGTTGTTTCTTATCCCAGTTGGCTGGCCAAGCCCACGAGCACATATGGACTCATGATTGAAGGGGAAGGAAGCAGCTTCTGTTGTGATGGAGCACCCGTAGGTAGAAGCCTGACTTTTGCTCCGTGACGCTCTTACAGTCATAGGAGACCGGGAGCTACGGCTTAAAGTGGATTCCGAACCCCTACAAACATCCATGGCACCGCCGGGATTCGACCCCGAAACCTGTGGCACCGAGTGCCAGAGCGCTAGACACTCGGCCATTCAGGTCCCAAATTTGCCAACGGCACGCGGTGTTCCCAGGTGGTCACCCACCCAAGTACTGACCACCCAAGCTTGACTTCGGTGATCTAACGAGAACCGATATATTCAGCATGGTACGACCGTCAAAATTATAAAACATGTGCACAGTGTGCCATTCTCCTTCTTCATAGTGCATTATTTGAGTAATGTTGAATTTACTATATTGTTTTCTAGTGACGAATGATCGCAGGTCAAAGTACATATCATTCAAAAATATGTTAAAGCTAAATAAGTTTTAAAACTTTTAAATATTATTATACATAAAATTGTGGGTATTGTTTCCGAAGTTTTTCGTTTCTTTGTTCAGTTTTTATCGTGTCCTTGACCACTTTCAATATTTACAACTTTTTTTTTTATTTTATTTCTTTCATAACTATTCCTATTGGTTTATTTAAATTTCTTTCGCGAGCTGATAATTATATAATTAAATAATCTAGAAATGTTTTAAAAGATCGTCGGCAAAGACAATGTTATTTCAAAATGAAAACGAGATTATTCAAGAAAAGAAAATCATTTGTAATTTTATAATTTTTTTTTATTTTTTTATTTTTTATGGTTGCTGTTATGCGTTTTGTATTAAATTCTCATTTTTATCTGTAGCCTATATATTTGGCCAAGCGATTATTTTTTTTATTTATTTTCTAGGATATAATTAAAATATACATTATTAACTATGTTAAATATTCATTATTAACTATTATTAAACCCCATTTACTTGTTTGATAAAGATTAAATAATAAAAAAACACTTAAAATATTTTATAAATTTTTGAACAGCAAATATTACGAAAATGATAAAAAGTTATCATCATTGTATTATTTTAAATATAATTTTATATCAGCAAGTTCGCTTCTACAGCCAACAATCAAAGGAATAAAGTTACGAACAAATAATGTCACATTTTGTTAGGAAATGGATCCAACAACTTTCGACAACTTTTCTTTGCTATCAAATGCACAGTTCTTCGGTTACAAAGCATATTTTCAAAGAGAACCACAAAAAAAAAACAAAAAAAAAGTCAATCCACAAAGGCTTCTTATCTTATAGAATATTTTCGGTCACCAATTTTATTAAATCTTTTAGTTTATTTTATTAAATTATATTTTATACAGAACAATTAATCATTTAAGAGAATACTTACCATCATTATTTGAATTAATTACTAAATAATTAGTATTATTTTGAAGAATACTTCGACTGAATTGATGCAACTACAAGTGTACGCAATTAAAAAAAAAATTTCTGGTTTTTTTTTTAACCATTGTTTTTCTTTTATTAAGCTACAGTTTCTGTGGTCATTAAAAATCATTTAACATGATAAAAAATATCTAACTAGATAAACCGGATTTTTTTTTAATATAAAAAAAGCACCAAGAAACATTAAAAACTACAAGAAACAAATTAAATATGCCTCCCCTTCCCCCGGAAAATCTTTTTCTTTGGTCTTTTTCATAAATCTCAAAACAATAAAAGTTCTTAATCAAAGTCTTTCTGTCAACATTATATTCCTGAATTTTAGTATATTTTTATGTCATTATAACATCTATAGATATTTAAGAGATTTAAATAGGTTTTAAATAAACGTCAATTTATTGTGCATGCAATTCTTAAATGCTATGAATGTATTATGCATGCTACTCTTAAATGCTGTAAATGTATTTGCTCTTTGAAATGTATGCTCTTTTGAAATAAAAAGTATTATAATTAATATGGAATTTTTTCAGCTAATTTTTCTTTCAATGTCGTATAATTTAAAATTGAATTAGTGGACATTAAAATTATTTTTATTTCAATTAAAACTTCCCAAAATTACACGTCCTTCCCTGTAGCGTCGCTACTTTTAAATCCATCTAAGTAACTGCCGAATGATTAGTGTTCTGCAGCTCTTTGCTTCGGGCTTCGGATTCGAATCCCCGTGATACCATGGATGTATGTAGTATCTCGAAATCCACTTTAAAGCGTAGGTCCCATTATAATATGACTGTAAAGCGTTACGCTTATGGCTGACAATCTTGCCCAGTAAAAGGAAAACATATGTCTCGAAAAGAACTTGGAACAAACCAAATTTCCACGCTATTGGTGATATATACACTGAAGTGACAAAAGTCATGGGATACCTCTTAATATCGTGTCGGCCCTCCTTTCGCCCGGCGAAGTGCAGCAACTCGACTTGGAATGGACTCAACAAGTCGTTGGAAGTCTTCTGCAGGAATATTGAGCCATGCTGTCTCGATAGACGTCCATAACTGTGAAAGCGTTGATGGTGCAGGATTTTGGGCACGAACAGACCTCTCGATGATGTCCCATAAATGCTCGATGGGATTCATGTCGGGCGATCTAGGTGGCCAGATCATTAGTTGGAATTGTCCAGAATGTTCTTCAAACCAATCGCGAACAGTTGTGGCCCGGTGTCATGGCGCATTGTCATCCATAAAAATACCATCGTTGTTTGGGTACATGAAGTCCATGAATGGCTGCAAGTGATCTCCAAGTAGCTGAACATAAGCATTTCCAGTCAATGTTCGGTCCAGTCGCACCAGAGGACCAGTTCCATGCCATGAAAAAACAGCCCACACCATTACGGAGCCACCACCAGCTTGAACAGTGCCTTGCTGACAGTTTGGGTCCATGGCTTCGTGGGGTCTGCGCCACACTCGAACCCTACCATCAGCTCTTACCAACTGAAGTCGTGACTCATCGGACCAGGCCACGGTTTTCCATTCATCTAGGGACCAACAGATATGCTCACGTGCCCACGAGAGTCGCTGCAAGCGATGTCGTTCTGTCAGTAAAGGCACTCGAGTCGGTCTTCTGTTGGAATAGCCCAAGAAAGCCAAATTTCTCCGCACAGTTCTAACAGACAAGTCCCTTGTACGTCCCGCATTGATTTCCGCGGTTATTTGACGCAGTGTTGCTTGTCTGTTAGAATTTAGGACTCTTTGCAGACGTCGTCGGTCTCGGCCAGTAAGTGCAGGTGGTCGACCACTGCGCTGTCCGTGGTGGGATGTTATGCCTGAAATTTCATACTCTCGGCACACTCTTGACACAGTGGATCTGGGAATGTTGAATTCCCTAACGATTTCCGAAATGGCATGACCCATGCGTCTAGCTCCAACTAACATTCCGCGTTCAAAGTCTGTTAATTCCCGTCGTGCGGTCATCATCACGTCAAAACCTTTTCACATGAATAACTTGAACAGAAATGAAAGCTCTGCGAAAGCACTGCGCATTTATACCTGTTCTACGCGATGCTTCTGCCATCTGAAAATTTGCATATTGCTATCCCATGACTTTTGTCACTTCAGTGTAAATCACCAACAGCGTGGATGTTGTGATGATCAGATCTATAATGATATAATAATTTGATCTATAATGATATAATAATTTGATCTATAATGATATAATAATCGGATCTATAAGGATATAATAATCGGATCTATAATGATATAATAATAATCGGATCTATAATGATATATGATCGGATTACATAAATTTAAAGAAATGTATTTTCTTTGCTTTCTTTTTCTTTTGAATTGCTAAGTATATCTTACTTTCCAATTTTGAAGGAAATTTTGTAAAATGTTTTAATGATGAATTGTTTCTGGAATATGGGTTTACATGTTTTAAAGTTTGAAATTTCTCATAATTAAACTATAAAAATTGTTTCATGCCTTTAAACGCTTGCAAAATATAAACGTTTCGAGAAAAATATGATATGTATTCATTAAAATACATTGAAACCATTCGGAAAAATAAAAACATTTTTTTTTACTCAAAAGAGCTGCAATTCGATTCGTTCTTTACAATATTCGAAATTAAATCAAAACTTGTTCCATTCTGTTTAAATGGAATTTTTATTTAAGAGCGACATTATGAAAACCCCATTAGAAATATCACTTTAAAAGAACATTTTACAAAAAAGAACTTTTTTTTTCATTACTCCCTGTCTTCTGATCAGAAGCGGGTTGTTAATAAGAAATCGAAACTAATTCTTCAGAGTGTACGTTTTAATTTCGTTTCTTTTTAAAATGTTACATCCTCTATCTTGCGGGAGATATTCCAAAATGGATGTGTAATCCAATAAAGCGAGCCACTTTCGGCTGGCCTCGTTTAAATTGTTGGATTTCTCCGCTTCAAGTGGTTTGAGAAGGGAGAATTTTAATCCAACAACTTCTGAACCTCCAGATAAACGCTCCGCTGGTTCACAGTGGAAGTTCGTCTGCTTAAGATCTCCCTTTTGATGTAAGGAAAAAAAAAATTCTAAAGGAGAATTGTTACTTATATAAAAGAAATATTTCTACATCCATTTTTATTATCGTTATTGGATATATATATTTTTATTTTTGTAATCACAACTAGATCTTTACGAGATGCGATCAAAAAAGATTTAAATAGGATATCAGTCTAATATGACGGAAAAATTATGTAAAGAGCATTTTTCTGTGTAAGAAGCTTTTGGGGGTAACCGTGAAATCGAATGAATAGGAATTGTAGAGAAAGTAGTGTCAGCTTCTTGTAATTTTTTTTCTTTTTCTGCTGCTGCTTTTTTTGTTGTAAGAAACTGAAGATTTCGCATGCTTATTTTTAATCTACGTGTAGAAAGAAGAAATTGGTTTAGGCCACTGAGTTTCAGGCGAATTTGTTCATTAGAATTCAGTGAATGATCCGCCGATTAAAGGTGCAAAAGAGGTAAGTAAGAAATGAGTTAATTTTATTGTCTATTCTTTTTAGAATTGTATAAAATTTTGTTTTTTCACAAACGTATTTTTATTTCCTCTTTTGTTGATGTTGTTCTAATTCACCTGACAATACAGATACAGTTAATCTTTACGCTATAAGTAAGGGTTGCACTATTGCTACTCATTTAGCGATGGAAAAATCAGTCACTGATTTTCCTTAGACACTGATTTTTTTTAAGCGAAAATTATTCGTGAAGAGGGGATGGTTGTGCTGTAGTTAGAAATAAAATTCTGGAAGACTAAAAATATCAGCATACGAAAGAAAATTAATTTATGACACACTCAACCAGAATTCAATGAAAAGGTAATGGTATATTGCCAATAAAGCTGATGTATATAATGTTAT